TACATTTTCATATATGCTATTCAAGGTGGTCCAGAGGAGTTTGCTGTGAAAGTTTCCACTGAGATTGGCCATGTACCAGCCAGCATATGGCCCCCCGAGATTGAGAGACCCAGGCCGCAGCAGGGTCAGCACATTACATGGGCGATGTTAACTGGTTGGTGGTGACTGGAACCATGGAATTTTATGACTTTCCATTTCATATATGGGATGTCATCCTTCCCAACTGACGAACTCATATTTTTCAGAGGGGTAGGTATACCACCAACCAGTTAAAGCATGATTTAACCATCAAACATGTGGTTTCATATGGTTTCATACAAGCAAGGATTGGTGTAAGGGAAGATCTACAGGAACCGGTCGGCTGGGTTTTCCTTGAAAAAATCGGGTTCCTGGAGCTTGGGCAGATCATGAATAATTCTGATCAAATATGTAAACACGCTATATAAGTCCCCCCATTGTCCCCCCCAAAAACCTTATTTCAATTTATGTCACTTATTTCAAACCATATCAAACCATATCAAACCGCAGGTTGTAGCGATTTTAGTGGTGTATTTCACTCTTAGCTGCCAGGTCTCTACCGTGGCTTCAGAGGTGGCGCAGCCTGGGATGTGATTTTCGATGATCAGAAGATGTGTCGTACCAAGTATTTGGGCGTCATTTGGGATGATGAACCTGATTGATATCTAATTATCTATCTATCTATCTGTCTGTCTGTCTGTCTATCTGTCTGTTTGTCTGTCTGTCTATCTGTCTATCTGTCTATCTGTCTATCTGTCTATCTGTCTATCTACCTACCTACCTATCTATCTGTCTGTCTGTCTGTCTGTTTGTCTGTCTGTCCGTCTATCTGTCTATCTGTCTATCTGTCTATCTGTCTATCTGTCTATCTGTCTATCTGTCTATCTATCTACCTACCTACCTATCTATCTATCTATCTATCTATTTATCTATCTATCTGTGTATCTATCTACGTACCTACCTACCTATCTGTCTGTCTGTCTGTCTATCTGTCTATCTGTCTATCTGTCTATCTACCTACCTACCTATCTATCTATCTATCTGTCTATCTATCTACCTACCTACCTATCTGTCTGTCTGTTTGTCTGTCTGTCCGTCTATCTGTCTATCTGTCTATCTGTCTATCTGTCTATCTGTCTATCTGTCTATCTGTCTATCTATCTATCTATCTACCTACCTATCTATCTATCTATCTATCTATTTATCTATCTATCTGTGTATCTATCTACGTACCTACCTACCTATCTGTCTGTCTGTCTGTCTGTTTATCTGTCTGTCTGTCTGTCTGTCTATCTACCTATCTATCTATCTATCTATCTATCTATCTGATATATATATATATATTTGACATAGTTTTAAGAACATGTGGTCGGCGTCCCACTACCAACTAGATCACCCCGGCTGCCAGATGACTTCAGAGACAGAGATCCCCATGGCTTTGAGGTTGGGGAGCGCAGTTTCGAGGCGTTTTTTTTTGACCATTGGTAAACATTTTGCTATGGAAAATGGCCATAGAAATAGTTGATTTACCTATGAAACATGGTGATTTTATGTGATTTTCCATAGCTATGTAAGTTTCCATATGCTCCATGGTGCTCCATGATCTCCTCGTACAGGGCGCCATGTTTGCGATTTATATATCCCATATGCTCCATGTATATCCATGGTGCTGGTATATTTACCTACATAACTGGGTGATTTTGTGTGGGCAAATGTTGGTAAATATTCCAGCACCATGAGCATATGGGATTTGCTAATCCGACAAAGCGATGACCTACCGACTGTGGATGGTTGCGAAATCACCACCAATTTTGGATGGTGGAAACCCTATAAATCATGGGATAAACCATCTATCAACTGGTGCAGGATTTCTTCCGTCCACAGTATTACACATAACTATGTTCAAATTTGCCAGAGATTTGAACAGAATCGACTTTCAACGATTACCGCATATGACCAACATTGCGCATTGGCCAGATGTATTTGGGAATGGACAAGTTGGACAAGTTGGACAAGTTTTTTTTTTCTCTTGACTATCAGGTCACTACCGAACCGTCCCTTATGCGGTTGGTCTATGTTGGTTTGCTTGAGCGACTCAGAGTCATGTGAACGAATGAAAGCGAGATAGAAATGAAGGACATCGAAGGACTGACAGGACAAAGGAGTGTGGGGCAAAAAAGAAAAGAAGATTGTCACTATTCTATGAACACATTGTTTTGTTTGTATTCCTGGGGGATTGCCATATACACAGTGTAAATCCATGTAAATCCTGTATATATATATATATATTATATGTGTGTATATATATACATATAATATATTATATATATATATGTGTGTGTGTATCAGTGTATTTCAGTATATATCAGTCTATATCAGTATTCATATATATATATATATATAAATATGCGAGTGTTGTTGTAAAGACAGACTTCCACATATGAGGCCGCAGATTTCAACTTCCCTGGCGCGCCGTGTGAAACTCAGACTCAGTCACGATGGAGTCTACTGGATAGATCTATGGATAGATCTATGGATTGATTTGAAGGAGAATTTGAAGGAAAGACGTGTTTATCCTATCAGGTATTGTCTTTTTTCTTTGCATTTTTTTCCGTTCAGCTTCATTCTAGGAATCAACAAATACACACTCAAAATATGTGTTTTGAATTCATCGCTGTGTTAAAATCCTGTTAGATCAACAGAAAAGGGATGACAACCCCGACGATCCCGAAACGATTTTCGGGTTGTCGGGGTGGCTCTGACGCACCGAGGCCCCAAAATCACGGCGGCCTCCGGGACGACCTCCGTGCTGCGCAACTTGGACCAGTTGCTGACAGTTCAAGCGTTGTGGTACGCGATGTTGTACAAAGATGCCTCAAAAGTATTCAAAAGTTGATTTACCCCGGAAAGAAAGGTGATAAAGGTGACCTAACATGATGCTAACATGATATTCGCAGTTGAAGAGCCAGAGTATTGAGATTGATCTGACGTTGATATTATACTGCATGACAGGGGTGATGACTCTGCCAAGTCAACATAACCTTAGCTCATGAACCTTAGTCTCCATGAAACCATCACATGATATTCAAATCTCCAAAATAGGGTCATTTAAGAACCCCTGTTTGATTCTTGCAGTGATTCTCCGTGATTCCTCAAACCGAAGGGTGCCCCACAATCCCTCAATCAATGCCGAGCATCTATTTGTTACAATGATTTGCCCAATAAGCACCCTTATCATTATCATGATTTTACATTATCATAGGTAATATATATGGTAATATACTATAAGATATTCATTGACAAAACCCATAGATGGTTTCAGGCGTACTATAAGATATAAAAATTGTATCTATCACTCGTATTCACTCGTGTTTTCACATGCGGATCCCAAAGCCTAATAGATGTAAGGCGGCATAGGAAATGACGCCGGTGCAGGCACACTGACCCTTGGGGCTTGAGAAGGCCAGATCCGAGGCTTGTCCACCTGGTAATCATTCATCAATTCATATCAATTCATATCAATTCTACCTACCAGAAAAAACACCTACGGTAATTATTCATCAATTCAAGACCTGAAAAAAGTAAGGAACTGGGAACATGACCCTCTCTCGGACAACTGTTCCATACATTTCTATTATCAACATTGGTGATTTCCACAGTTTCAAACAGAGTGAATCACAGCACGCCTCGCATGTGATGTCGAGGGTGCTGTTGTGTTTTTTTTCCCGCAGGGAAAGGCCTCTGTTCGCACCAGACTTGCAACTGGTTCCTAATGCGCGAGGTTTCGATCTATGGATGGAGAGATAGTCACCGTCACCTCCCTTAAAAAACATTTTTTCAGGGGGGACCATATCCAAATGTGTATCCTCTGGTTATTTAACATAGCCATGGAACATCACCATTTTTAATAGGTAAACCATCTATTTCTAGGGCCATCTATACCATGGCTATGTTAGTCATAACCAGAGGGTAAATACATTTCTTGGTAATTATTAAAGGTATGTATAATTGATCGCTGAACATCCCCCAGGTGGCTTTGTGTTTTGGGGGGTGGGTATAAAAATACATTGAAATGTACGCTTACAGTACATTTTTTTGAGGCCCCTCCACAAAAACGCCTTGAAACATGTATTTTACATGTGAGTATGGTCCTCCGAAAAGTGTAGTGTAGTGAATCGATAATTATATGGGTTTGTCTCAAAATATGATACGAGAGAATGCATCGGTTGATCATCATTCCCTCATAGCAATTGCCATTTACGTAGTGATCATAGTGGGCTTCTGCTTCATTTTATTCAGACACACCCAATTCCACTATTCAGTGGCTAAATCAGTCAAATCCTCATTCTGGCGAAGCAATGCATAGATTTGTGCCACATAATGGCCATACGGGTTTGTCTAGAAATTGGGTGTGTATGTATTTACAAAATGACCATAAACCATCAAAAATTGGGGCATCCTATTTGCAGACACACCCATAATATATGTACATATATATAATATAAAAAATATAATGTTATATAGATATATAACATTATATATATATAACATATATACACATAACATACGTGTGTTTTAGCTCCGCCAACTTGATGGTTCAGCTTCATGATCACAGATCTTACAGCTGGTATTACAGACAGCGCCACAATGCCAAAGGGAGCGTCCAGGAAAAAAAACTTTTGGATGGCTTTCCTTTAAGACCTTTTAAAGTTCCACCAATCACAAATCCCAGGACTTCTATACTCTTTGCTGTGCAAAATGTAAGGATTTCCTACTGCTATGTGCAGCCCTATGGCACTGGAAACTACCATCATCTACCATCATTACAATGGGAAACCATCAAATTTTGCAGAGGAAGAGCATCAAGAAATGCTGGGACTATGTGGAATTGGACATGCACCTTCCAGATCAGCGAGCCAAAATCCATCAAAATCCACATAAGTCCACAGGCTTTTCCCATGCGACTTCTTGAGCTTTGACCCATGCTGAGGTACAGCGCGCCGCGCTTCCCACCACCGCGAGTACCGGAGCATGAGCCCAGGCGCTACCGAGACGCCGAAGATCGCGGAGACTTGTGTCTCGGCGGATGTGGGTAACCATAAGGCCCTGGGTACCCTCTGGTAATTTAACATAGCTATTGAAAATGGCCATTTATAGTGGATTTTCCCATGAAACATGGTGATTTTCCATAGTTATGTTAGTTTACCAGAGGGTAAATTGTAGCGACCTCACTGCTTTCCCACTGGAATCATGATAATCATGGTTGGATTGGGGGAAGTGTCAGGTTAGTATCCCGATAGAACCGTATTTCAGGATAGTGAATGAGTTTAATCTACCAAGATATTTGAGACCCTAGCACCAAGGATCACCAAGGCAAGGCCTCCCATGCCATGGTCTTCATTTAAGTGGGTTTGCTTCATCCCCAAAGCTGTGGTTACTTGATGTTACTTGCTGCACCTCCCGATCAGCCCAGGGAATCCGGAAATCCGGAATTCGCTGAATGCTTTCTATGATTTGATCCCGTCTTTCACCATCATGTAATTCATGTACGGCCTAGTGTAGGGTATATTCATGGTGACGCTTTCTAGCCATTTGCCCATGACATTTTTACATGGAACTGATCAAACCTTTCCCCCTCCCAGCACCCCTCAACGCGGTCAGGTACAGCCAGCCACATTTCCCAGCGCCTCGAGTAGCGGAGCATGAGCCCAGGCAGCCCAGGCAGCGAGAGACTGCCGAATACCGAGATTTGCAACCCAGCAGGATTCATTTAACGGTGTCCATGTTGGGATCATAGATGTCCTTTTCCCATTGGTTGGTTGATTAATAGAGGGGTTTGAAGAAACCCCTGAAAAACAACAGGTTTCTATGATGATAGATGGTATACCAAACCGGCCCCTCTATTTTTTTTATCAAAAGGACATCAAATTGGTTGGGATCTTTGGCCGACTTGAATAGATACAACATGCCAACATCGACATTTCCATGACATGAACTGACGCAAAGATGGGGATAGAAGCAGCAACATACGTGGTAATCAATTGCAAGAAATAGACTAGCTGAGGATCATATACCTGGGTAAATTATAACGACCTCACTGTTCTCCCTCACTGGAATCATGGTTAATAAGGGAAATCATCCCCAAATGGCCTGAATTCAGGTTAGTGAAATATTATAATTTACCCAGAAATATACGTGTAACTACATGTATTGGTAGCCCTCAGGGTGGAAGTGGCTCCAACTGCTGTGGTGATGGCATGGATGTCCTGCAAGCTGCTTAAGCCGGTTGCTTGAAAGAAGGGCACCCAAAAATTGAACGACCAATTGAACGACCAATAGGATCAATAGGGTACAGTATATCATGGAAGTGCCCCCTATGGACATCTATGGACCATTGGCCTATCCAACAGCCCTAGGTACAGTGACCCGCGCAGACAAGGCCCATGGAATCAAGGCGTGCGTGAGCCATGGAACGAAGGTGCACGTGAGCCCCGTGGACTTAAGGACGAGGAGCGAGGGATTTATATACATCATTCTGGGGAAATTATAACGACCTCACTGCGACCTCACTGGAATCATGGTTAATAAGAGGAGTCATCCCCAAATGGCCTTAATTCAGGTTAGTGAATTATTATAATTTACCCATAATCTTATTCACACTCAGTTCATGAACATGGAGGGTACTCTCGTGTACCACGTAAAATTGAAAGCCTCTGATCTTTGCGACTTTATTGGTGACTTCGACTTTCTTGGGGGCAAAAACATTCGACCTGCCCCATGGCTCCATGTCTCTATACGCTACCCCATGGATCCCCATGGTTTCCTCGGCACCGTAAAGTCGGTGAAGTCGGTGAAGTCATCATTTTTCTATAAATACCCATTGGTCATTGTTGGTATATGCACCATTTTTGTGGTGAAACAGTGAAACATGACGACATCAGCCATTTTTTGATATTTTTTGTGGATTAAGATGGATTAATACTCGTATTTTGTTGTTTGAGTCACCCATTTTTCTTGATCCACCCGCGCCCAACAAGGCACTTCGGAGCTCGCGCCTGGGGCCAGCGGTTTCCTGGGCCGTCGATGCGGTGGGCACTCAAGTGGAACATGAATGAACAACTAAACATGAATGAACAACTCAAATTATAATGGGTTGGTGGTTTGGAACATGGCTTTTATTTTCCATAATATATGGGATAATCCTTCCCAACTGACTTTCATATTTTTCAAGATGGTTAAAACCACCAACCAGAATGGAATATGAATTATATGAATGGATACTTAAGAACTAGAGGTGGACACTTAATGAACATGACATGAATTGCTGAAGTGAATGGTCTGAATAGAAGTGATTTAAATATATCGTAAGCACTTTAAGGCGGACAAAATCATGAAATTTAGATTGATGAATCAATCACTCGACGAGATGGCAATGGAGAGAAACATGAATTCACCAACTGAATAGGAGTTTCACGGGGGCTCTGAACCTATGGGGCATGTTAGGATTCAAGCACTCAACTTCTACTCAACCGAGATATTCACAGAGGATGATGGTGGTTGATTTGGCAAGATGTTCTAACATGTCATCAGATTTTACCCCCTGGTAAATTAACAGTTGGACCCTGAAAATCACCCATTTTTAATGGTTTCACTAGTCTTCCAACCCCGATGACTGCCAGGGTCTATGTTAATTTATCAGATTTTAAATTGTTTTCTGTGATGCAAAAAATTGGGTTCTACCCAGCAATCCTCCTAGCTCCAAGGTTTCCTCCTCCGGATCACTTCGAGCATCTTGGCCTGCAGCTTGCGATGCCGCTTGCTATGTCAAAACTGTTGCGGATCCAACATGGACTGCTGAAAAATCCACCATTTATAACATCTATATATTTATACCATTTTATACCTGGACGTCCATTTGTACTAGAAAAAAGTGGCGCGAATTGAACAGTTGCCCTTGTCAACAATTTTTGATGTATTTTGATGATGTATCACAAAAAATAGTTGTTGCCTGCAGGAGTTCCAACTTCAAATGCCAAACACAAAAAAAAATATCCAGCTCTTGCGGCCAAAAATGGCTGGGATGATCCTCCATTGGTCCATGACTTTCCTCAGAGGATGGAGCACCAAGCACTTCTTAGCACCAAGATTTCTCAGTGAAACGTATCACAGTAGTATATCACACATAGACTATCCGTATCTGAGATAGTATCTGGTTGGTGGTTTGGAACATTTTTCCATTTTTTCCCATCTATTGGGAATGTCATCATCCCAACTGACGAACAACCATAATTTTTCAGAGGGGTAGGGCTCAACCACCAACCAGAGACGATCCGTGATGATCATGATGATTGGTGATGACAACGTCGACCAGTCGACCACTATTAGCTATTCGGGCGTCCTCATGGGACGGCGACAGTCACACTTGACAGCGAGAGAGAGAGAGAGAGAGAGATACTAAACCCAAAGAAGATCGAAGTGAACAGTCATTAACTCCCTGACTTCGATTGAATTGGACAAATTACAGGATAACTCTGTATTTGCAGGGTAAAACCATGGTTTCCTGCAGATTTTCGCAAGAAGGCCGCCCATGCCGCGCTATGGGCTACGAGCTCCTGAGGGTTTGTCAGTGCCTGGCTTCGATCTACCCAGGCTGTGAGGAGACCTTTTCGTGGCGGAAAGAAGTGGTGGGGTTCATAAAACTCATAGAAAATCCATGAATAATATAAACTGGGTAAATTATAACGACCTCACTGCGACCTCACTGGGAATAATGGTTAGTAAGGGAAATCATCCCCAAATGGCCTTAATTCAGGTTAGTGAATTATTATAGTTTGCCCAGATATAATCAATCTTAAGCATCCTTAAGTTATAAACCTCAAAGATGGGAAGTTACAATTGGGCGATGCAGGTTTTCCATGGTTTTCACATCCCTCCTCATATAGACTCCCGGTCAAAATGGGGATTGGAAGACACGCACCTCCAAAAGTGGGAGGGTAAGCCGATTCGGCTTATCACTTTGGAACAATGTAGGTTACATGTCGACATGTTCTTCCTGCTGGTTGGTTGATGCAAAAGAGGGGTAAGCTCTCACTGGACAGCCAATAGGTAAACGATGGTACAGAAACGGTATACCTAAGCCACACCTCTTTTTTCTGGCATGGGACTCCAGCAATTACGATCGTCATTTCATGTTGCCTGCATGTTTTGTTGAAGATGATTTTTTTCTGGACATCATGTTTCACAAAAAGCGTGCCACACACACGGCAGATCTTTTTGGCACCATGAATAAATAGCAATTTTTAGTACTTTAAGTGGCGTCGTCAAAAAGTGTCAGACACATTCGCCCCATTTAGGGATCAGCTGACCAATTTTCATGTCAGGCAGCTCCCTTCAGAGATCTACAGGGCTCGGATCTCCAGTGCAGTTACTGGGGGGATTTCCAAATGCCACTTCCAACTTGTGGGAGGGCAGTACCCTCTGGTAAACTAACATAGCTATTGAAAATGGTGATTTATAGTGGATTTTCCCATTGAAAATGGTGATTTTCCATAGCTATTTTGACATAACCAGAGGGTAGATGGGAGATGATTGGAGTATCTTGATGATCTCAATGGACTCAATGGATCTATTCATGGACTATTTACACATATATATATATATATTTACATATTAATTCAAAGAAAACACGGAATCAAAGCAACAAAATATGTGGACTCCAACATACTCCAGCAATACTATGCAATATTTGGAGATCTATATCATCAACAAATTTATAGCTTTCACCCTGTTACAAATGCTGTGATTCAACCTGTTGTCACCAACTTCACCAGGAAGCCGGCTTTGGGCGCGACGATTTCGTTGCCAGCGAATCGCACATGCCACCTCTACTGTCAGTTCCGAAGGAAGTTCCCAAGGAAGAAGGCACCAATTGCCTGACCGCTGGTTGTTCAAAACCCCTGGTGGTTGATGATTAGTTGGGGAATTATATACGGGGGATTATCATAATCCATTGTTTGGGAAATCCGTTCGTAATTAACGTGATTAGACGCGAAACTAATTATCAACAACAACTGACGTTATCTACATGTTTCATCTATGTGCAATGAAAACTAATTCACACTGTTTGGTGCTTTCCAATATAGCCGTGATAGTCCAACATACCTGGGATGATGGCCGTGGAACTCCCCAACCAGAAATGGAATCGAAGTTGGTTTCATATGCTGAGGGGCTATGTTTTTGCTGTGGAAGACATGTTACAAAGATTTGCACGATTTTACGAAGTAGAGGCACGGTGAGATATAGTGACTGATGTTTTACTATTTAGAATTTAGAATATATTTCTTATATATGATAAATTGAGATTGTTTTTTCCTCAAAGTTAATTCGTGGAAGAATATGAGTTTCTTCCCAGGGTGTTGAAGCGTTGAAGCCCTGGCCGCCATTTCAGCCTCTCAGTTGAGTTGCAGGTGGTTCCAATCAGTTGTACCTCCCTGAGGCCTGGCAACCATGATTTTTTCATATGTTTTCGATAATGTGTTTTCCATATTTTTTTCAGATGTTTCCATATTTTTCATATTTTTTCCAAACGATCAAAACAAAATGTCATATAGAAGTACCATGATTTTTTCTACCAGAAACACTCCATAAACAAGCGAATGATAAGCAACTTAGCTATTTTTTGGGGGCCCTACATAAGGTCAAACTTAGGGAGGGGGATATCGTATGATATGATAATGATATGAGATAAATCATGATAATCCCATCAACGAAGTTGGACTATAGCCAGTTATAGTTATAATATCTACGACGTATTAATAATCTTATAATATCTTATCAAATCTTATTTGTTTTTGATGGTTACTATGTTATACTATGTGCCAGTTATTTTTTTTGAGCTGCCTTGGGGTCACCAAAATCGACTCGGGCTCCAGGAGTCGGATTGTTACCCATGACGGATCCATGGTGCTGCGAAAAAAATGGTGTGCCATGGATCCCATCAATATACCCCCTTGATGTTAGCATACCCTCTGGTAAACTAACAGTTTGCTATTGAAAATGACCATTTATAGTGAGTTTTCCCATTAAAAATGGTGATTTTCCATAGTTATGTTAGTTTACCAGAGGGTATATACCATAATTACATGGATCCGTCATGGGTTATATCAATGATGAATGGATTTTATTGATGTGATTTGATTTTTTTGGGGATTTCTAGGACATGTTTCGCAGCTAAATTTAGGACGCAAGTTGAGGAATTTTCACCAACAATGGGAATTTGACTAAGCTGTTTACAGTGATACAATGATTAATCATGGGGTAACGGAATGGCATACGGTATATAAGCAACTTGAGATGACATGTGGGTTTGTCTAAACAAGGGAGATTTTTCCCACCCCTTAAGTTCTGGTCATCTAAAAGTGGGAAATGACCAAAACGCGACTCGGCTCTCTTTTAGGTGATAGTTATGGGAGATGGTCCTGCCAGATGCTCAGTGTCCAGGCCTGCCCTGCTATCTCAGGCCAAGAAATCAGCGTGGAAAGCAGTGCAGATGAGTTTACGAAATCTGTTTGAACCTCCTTGACAGTGTCGTATTTTGTCCCTCCCTGTTTATGATTTTTTTTGGTAGCACAGGGCGCATAGAAACAACTTGACTTGCACAACACGTGGGTTTGTAAGAAAATGTGACGATCCTAATTCCAACCCATAGGATCCATGGTGCTGCTATATATGGTGTGCCATGGATCCCATCAATATACCCCCATTTTTGGATATATACCAGCACCATGGATCCGTCATGGGCAATGGATTTTCACAGATTTTCACAGATTTTCACAGATTTCCCCCATTCAATGAGCATTTTGGTCCCGCTGACGACTTCGGAAGCCTGCGGATGCTGAGGTTTCTGAGCCGCCATCCGACCAGGCTGGAAGATCAATTGGGGACGGGTTGAAGTGGGGTAATTACTTCATAATATAGCCTTTGGTTAGTATAGTATAGCTATGGAAAATCACCATTTTATAGCTGGGTAAATCAACTATTTCTATGGCCATTTGCAATAGTTATGTTAGTTTACCAGAGGGTGGTGATATATATATATATATAGGGTAATTACTTCAAACATACTCAGATCAGGTGTGCCAGCATTAGATTGTGAATATAAAATAATATAAACACCTACTTAATTTATTACTATTTGATATAAGCGGTTTGATGCGGGTCTTGGGACATGTTGGGACTATGGGACTCTATTCTTGTGAGCCTAGCCCCCTTTGGGGGTCCATGCATCTGAAACCTGTTGGAGCTCCAAGGCACTGGGCCAAAAGATTTATAGTGGCAGCTGTGTGGGAACCACGCAACTCATGACTGGCTGACTTACAAACTCAGAGGTTTGAAGTTGGCCCTGTCGGCACTTGCCTCAGTCCTCGTTTTTGGACAGTATTCTTGTGGGGCTGCTGGCTTGGAATCCGGCCGCAAGCCTCCACAGGAACAAGGTTAGCCAGTCAGTAGATGCACATAAAGTAGATGAACATACAATGCCACACAATGCCATACAATTGTTATCCATCAACACATCACCAACACATACAAAAATCGCAAATCCTACCCCGCCCCAGGGCAACATCTCCGGTTATACCATGGGTGCATTGCATCAGTCCTGAGTTGCCAGCAGGCCCCAGGTGGAAGCACCACGGCCATGTCACAGTTACGCGCCTGCGAGGCTGGGTGTCCTACTGTGTGCTTCCTGGTGGGAAACCCATAGGAATATGGGAAAATCATAGGAAAACCATAGGAAAATGGAGGTTTACCCTCTGGTAAACATACAAAAAGCTATTGAAAATTGCCATTTATAGATATTTATAGTGAGTTTTCCCATTAAACATGGTGATTTTCCATAGTTATGTAAACGTTTACCAAAGGGTAATGGGCGATGTTAAGCATTATTTAACCATCAAGTTTGATGACTGGTTTGGAAGACTTTCTCTTACTGGTGCTAAACGTAGGGAATCAGGGAATGATCCACAATATCTATTAATAATATTTTATAATATTCCCAGCAACCCCCAGCAACCCATCCATTCCCTACTAAGTCCTTGCAAATGAAGATTGCTCTTTTTTGGGTTAGTGTGTGTTGAAGGTGGTATGCCTGAACATTTGGGACCGCGCTTTTCCAATCTTTTCCACATATATCCCCAAACAAATGTTTCACTGCACGGAAACGATTGATTGATCGGCTTGGTATAACCATCTCTTTTGGCAGACCTATATTGTCCGCTTCAATACCCTCGAATACCCTCCCGTTTATGGCTTCGATGAATCTTCCTTCCATGGGGTTCAGGGGTTCACCTGACTTAAAGCAGGCCATATGTGGCCATATGTGCTCCCCCAGGTATGTTGGGTCACAAATAAAGCTAATTACCCTCTGGTAAACTAACATAGCAGTGGAAAATCACCATTTTTGATGGGTAAATCAGCTATAAATGGTCATGTTCAATAGTTTTTTGTATGTTTACCAGAGGGTAACTACAGATATCTACAGATCAATTTGTGAAGCTCCGGCGCTGTGAACCGTAGAGATCAAACAGCAATTTCTGACCCCAAACCACGCCTTAAAAAATCACAGGACTGTGAACAACTATAAACAAGATTAATTATGTTTGGATGATCATTAAAAAGGTTATTTCAGACCAAAGAGTTTACCCCAATTTATCCAAATCTATTATTTTTGGTTGCCATAAATAAACCCAAAAACTCCAACCCCTCCAAAGAGAGGCGCAGCTGGAGTTGGCCGCCAATGAGCTCCATATGACGCAGCAGGCATTGAAGTTGTCCCAGGCGCAATGGATCAACACAACTTGACATCTTTGACACCCGGAAATCTCCAAAAACGGCTGGAAAACACCAGGATTCTTCAGGATTTTTCTAGAGAAACTATGAGAAACTCATATATTTCCCCACCTGTCAGGTGAGGATTGTTAGATTTTATGATATTTTATGTCAGCTGGCCTCCTTCTCCTCCGCCGGACCTCAACTGCAAGCTCGTGACCTCAGTGGTCCCTGCCGGACCTGAACAGCAAGCCCAAGATCAGAGTGTTCCCCGCCGGACCTCGACCACAAAGAATCTTCGAAGATATAGCAGATAGAATGCCAGAGAGAATGTCAGAAGATATGCCAGAAAGTACGTCAGAGTAGATGCCAGATAGAATGTCACATAGAATGTCAGAAGATATGCCAGAAAGTATGTCAGATAGTCAGAATAAATATGCCATATGTACTTCCAGATGGTATGTCAGAAGCTATGTCAGGATAATGTTTCACGGTGGAGGTCACTCGAAAAAAAACATGTTTTTCCCAAAGGTAAAACCTGGTGAAACAATCCAAAGCCGGGTCTATTGCTGCTGAAATCAATCGTTTTGCCATTCAAATCCAAGCTTTCCAAGCTTTGCGGAGAAGATTGGGGTGTACGTAATCTATCTGGGTTTGTCTGAAAATGTTGGGTTAATCTTCCCAATGAAATAGCCATTTAAAAACGGGATAATGATCAGCAAAACCATTGGGTTTAGGGGTACACTATTTTCAGACACATCTATCTTCTGGCTGGTTGAATCTCTACTTGCTGGTGACATCATACAATTTGAAGCTTTTTGTGGCGTGCAATTCTCAGCTTGTCTTGAATAGAGCCACAGTTGTTACTGGTTAAATCGTGTAAAATACCCTGCAGCAAAGCCTCATGTACTATAGGCGTATTGACCTTGCTTGGCTATAAATCCGATAGCGTTGGTTCAAATGAGCTGTTGCTTAACGGATGTTTCCTTGGAAATTGTAGCTTACCTGCTAAAATACAAATCCCCCAATTCTACTGGGCAAATAATTTTGGTCTACTGGTTGAATGCATATGTTTATTTTTGAGCAAATCCACATTAGGGGAAGGTATCACGACATCACCTTGTCGCCACCATAGATTATCATTGGTAACCGTTCGTGTAGGGAAGCGACCATCCAACCTGACCTTACTTCAGGTTAGTGAATGTTTATCGTTTACCCAGATAGTAAATCAACCCATTCAATCCATTGTTGATGAGTTGATGGCCTCAACTTTTCATGGTTAAATCAACTAAAGAACACATGTTTCCCCACCTGCCAGGTGAGGGTCTCTAGATTTGATCAAGAGTTGCTTCCTTCTCCTCCTCCCCCAGCAGCCTCGGATCTGAACTGCGAGTTCCGAATCACACTGGGCACTGCCCGACCTCAACGGCGAGCGCCAGATGTCAGATAGAATGCCTCAAAATGCCACAAAGACTGTACCATGGGCCCATGGGCTCCACCAATCTCCAGGTGACGCCGGGCCAAGCGCGCGCGGACCTGGCGCAGCTGGAGGCACGTCTGGACCGGCTGCAGTGCCACAGCATCGATGCGGTGCCATGGCTTGGATGGCTTGGATGGCTTGGAGCCTGTGGAGCCTGGAAGATTCAGCAGATTTTCATCACTGATTTTTGGGTTTGGAACATATGACCCGGCCTGGTAAACCCATAGGAATATGGAAAAATCACAGGAAAACCATAGGAAAATGGAGGTTTACCCTCTGGTAAACATAGAAAAAGCTATTGAAAATGACCATTTATAGAGAGTTTTCCCATTGAAAATGGTGATTTTCCATGATTTTCCATAGTTATGTAAACGTTTACCAAAGGGTAATAAGCGATGTTAAGCATTATTTAACCATCAAGTTTGATGACTGGTTTGGAAGACTTCCTCTTACTGGTGCTTGGTAAGTAGGGAATTTTCGGGAATGATCCATAATAACTATTAATGATAATCCCAGCAACCCCAATTCCCATCCAATCCCTACTAAGCACCAGTAAGTGATGCCCATGGTGTCCCAAAGATTGTTAAATCGGTTTACAACTCTAATATGTTAAGGCTTATGGTAGATATATTATATCGCGCTAGATAATGGGTTTATAAGCTAACCAACTTTGAACTGGGGGGCACCACTTCATGATCTTCCGTGATTCCATGATATTCCTACATCATTTGAGAGACCTTATTTTTTTTGTTTTTTACTTCTTATGTTTTACAGTAAATGAGAGTCATTTGGGACATGTTGACTGTTTTATGTGTTTCTTCGTGTTTTGGGGGAATGCTAAAATAACACATTCGAGACGATTTCAGTGTCCTTTAATGTCCTTTATACTTTCGTTTATTCTGCTGGGAATTTGCATTTCTGCGAGTCATTGGCCAAATAATTGCATCAATCGTCAATGTTTGGTGCTTGTTGGTTACAATGGCTGAATTGTTGGCGGAATTGGCATATTGCAAGAATCCCAATAGTAAACGAATTGGAGGTTTCAATATATTCTTATTCTGCATTCTCAACCACAGCTGGGGACTGCCATGAAGTGATGTCAACATAACATATGCAATTTTTATCCGACCATACATCTCAAATAAGAAAATGCATATGTCATAGCTCTGCGTGTTCAACACGCATGTAATTTGTCACAGTTTGTTTGTGAATTAGGTCTAATATGGTATAATAACAAAAATATATACTCCAAGTTATAGCCATACAACAGGGAAAACAATGATAAACCACATTAAGACTAAGTGGATTTTGATGGAGCGTGGGGTGCCCTATTTTCAGTCAAACCCATGTTTGGTATCTGGCCAGGTTTCTCAACAACCTGTGGCTGCTGCCGTTCCCCAATGCCATAACCATCCCGATTTGGGGATGGTTTTCATTGGGGGTTTGAAATTGGGCCAGTTCCTCTTCCCCAGTGATGGAACCCATCCCAGTGGCCTGCAAGGTGTCCACAGCCGGGCTTTCATCTCAGGCGATGGGACCATTGGACAAACAGCCCCATCCTGAAGCTGACCCAAAATGAGATGCTCCCTTGCGAGTTTTTATGGAGATACCCTCTGGTAAATAAACATAGACCCTGAAAATAGCCAATTTTTAATGGAAACTAGTCTTCCAACCCCTATCTGCCAGGGTCTATGTTAATTTACCAGAGGGTAAAATGGAGATACTCCCCCCCAGCATTCTCATGAATTTTCAGCCCAAACTTGCCAACAGGATGGCTTCCAAAATCTTCCGTGGATCATCTCTTTCCGGAACATTTTTCGTCAGCTTGATGCTGAACTCAATTTGTTTGGTGGAACCTGTAGGACCCCACATTTTCCAGGCTTCACCTGCATAAAATTCAATGACATCATATAAAATCCCAAGTTTGGCTAAGCAAATCCAGTTTTTTGTTGCAAAAAAAGCGTTTGTTGGCCCCAATTTCTTTCCTTGGCCGTGACACGTCCAGGATGAAGACGCGGCCCGCACTCTGCGGAGGTGCCATAGTTAGAATCTGGTTCTTGGGATTCAACTTTGCTTCGATGATTTGGCCATGGAAATGCCATGGTCCACATTGTTTCCAAGTTGGCGTCCGTGAGCTTGGATCCAATGTTGAAAGCAAACTTTGGAGGTTGGTTCATCTTGCTTGGGCATTGTTTCCAGTTTATGTTCGAATGAACTTTGGGACCTTAAGATACTTTGGTGAATCGATATGGTGTTTTTCTATGTTTTTCGCCCTTTGAAGCCACATGAAATCTCCGTCGTGCGCCTCGAGGCACCTCGTAAAGCAGGTGGAGCAGTTGCAAGGCCGCTTAGATGAAACATTCGAGAGGTTGAAAGGTCAGTGACGTCTGGACGTCTCGCGCCGTGCTGAGAATTTGTCAAAGGCAAAGTTGGCAAATGGTTGCCAGAACTGGATCTTTGAATTACATACGGTAGATTCATGTAAATAATGTTTTTTGGACTTTGATTGGGTATTCAATCTTTACTGGTCTATATATACATCCATAAACGTGGCGTAGACCGTATGCAGACGCTGTTTCGAGACATTGCTTGTAAGCTGGTGATCTAGTTTTTTTCCCACCATTCATTGTAGCTGTTGGAGCCTTCAACAAACTACCTCAGAGTCAGAGCAAGTCTTTGCAGGAACTTTGGCGATGCAAAGAGTTCTACTACTGTAGAATCTGTATATACAGCTTACTGCAGTATATGTTTGGGCTTCATTTGAATATTTTTGAATTACTGTATGTACATATTGCCGTACCAAAAAGATGCATGGTACGCTTATTAAATTGGACCCATGACATGCAGAGCTTCCCCTTATGAATCCTTTGCTGGCTGGCGTGTGGCTGTTGCGGTTTACACATCAGCCCAGTCTCACCAGTGGCAATAGGCCACCAGTCGCACCATTCATTTCATTCATTACGCCGATGCTTAGAGTGATTAGCGGAAAGTGCGCATTCCTGGGGTCAGCCCGGAAGGCCCGGAAGTGGACCGTGCAACATTGGCGAACGATGATGAAACGCATGCAGGCATGTAGTGAACGAAAGATTTGGACCAACATGCGCGCGGTTTTTACATAGAGACAACCCAAGCAGGCCACAAACGATGTACTTTTGGTGTCCTTTGTCCAATGCGATCCAAAATGACACCCGTTGAAAAACGATGGAAAACTCCACCAGTTGCGAAGTTGGCGGTGCTGCCGGGTTCCTGCCATGGCAGCGGTTGGCCACGTGCGCCTCGCGTAACTCCCAGGGTCCCAGAGGGACCACCCGGCTTTCCTACGGCCAGCAGTGAAGAGAGCCTGCTGTTGTTTTCTCATTTGTTGAACGTAAACATGGCATGGAAACCCCTAAGTTGCTATTTCCTGCGATTTTTCCGTTCAACCAATCAGTTGAAGTTTAGCTTCATGTCACCTTCCTGTGAACTGTGCTGATGCATGATTGAAAGCCCTTTGTGTAGCCCGGAAGTGAAGCATCAACAATAGTGGATTAGTTTTTTTCCCATATCGAAAAATGTTCGCTTTCCCACTTCTGTTTGGTTTGTAGAAGTTTTCTCACTAGAAAGGTAGAATAGGCTGTATCCATTGTGGTCCTTCGGAGGCCATTTTTTTAGGTGGGATACACCTGATCCAGATGAAGATTCTGATGGATTCTGCATAACTTTTCAGGCGTATCCATACATCTCCTGTATCATGTATGCCGCATGGTGAAATCCATGGAGAAAAAACTGAATGATTTGATAAATATAAGTCCCCGTGCCAGTTGACATTTGCTTGATTGGCGCAACATCCAGATATATCCAGATCTTGGAATCTTGGCCTGGGAAAGCTTCAGTTGATCATTTTGAATCAAGCTGGAGCTGCAAAAGCGCGTCGATGTCCAAAGTCAGAGAGCCTTGGGATGTTTTGGGAGGAGCTGGTTTCTGTGTGTGCCCCTCTGGTAATTTAACATAGCTATTGAACATGGACCATTTATAGTTGATTTACCTATTAAAGATGGTGATTTTCCATAGTTATGTTAGTTTACCAGAGGGTAACCAGCAGCAGCGACCCTTCAACAACACCATGGACAGATTGCTGAGGTAGGTCCAAGGTCCATATAACTTCCCTCGATGCCCGAAACCCAGGATTTTGACCCAGAGAGTCCAGATGCGCATGGCGCATGACCCATAATCTATTGCTGGTTGGTGGTTTGGAACATGGCGTTTATTTTTCCATATATTGGGAATAGTAACCCCAATTGACTTTCATATTTTTCAGAGGGGTTGAAACCACCAACCAGATTGTAGTATAATAATATAGCATACAATTTTTGATTATAGAATGTTCATCAGATTTATGTCAATGTTTACCACCCGAATGGACTCTTGATTTCCAACCAATCTAGCCAATCTAGCCACCGGGGAAGAATCCACTTCTTGCTCTCAGTGAATGGTGATTTGAAGTATTTCCATTCTTTTCTGCGGCCAGGGAAATGTTGACAAGTTGACAATGGTTTACCATCTGGTAATTTACCAGTTTGCTATGGAAGCCATGGCCCATTAGAGAGAGTTTTCCCATTAAAAATGGTGGATCTTTCCATAGTTATGTGACAGTTTACCAGCGGGTAAACCTCCATTTTCCTATGGTTTTCCTATGGTTTTCCCATTAAAACCTCCATGTTCCTATGGTTTTCCTATGGTTTTCCTATGGTTTTCCCATTAAACCCTTTCGGTTGACGATCAGCTTAACGGGGATTCCAAGAAACCACCAGCCGTGACTGTCGCGGAAAGCGCCAGGTGGACCTCGAGACGACACATCCCAATGACTTTGCCATTTTGGTTGAGGCAGAGTCCCCAAAAAAAACCAGAGGCAGCGCAAAAAAAGAGACCCAACAGCGATAGGAAAACCATAGGAAAACCATCGGAAAACCATAGGAAAACCATAGGAACATGGAGGTTTTAATGGGAAAACCATAGGAAAACCATAGGAAAACCATAGGAACATGGAGGTTTTAATGGGAAAACCATCGGAAAACCATAGGAAAACCATAGGAACATGGAGGTTTTAATGGGAAAACCATAGGAAAACCATAGGAAAATGTTGATTTACCCTCTTGTAACCGTTGACGTAACTGTGGAAAGATCCAGCATTTTATCGCTGGGTAAATCCACTTCAATCTATTTCAATGGGCCATGGCTTCCATATATAAATGATATTAAATGATCTGGTTGGTGGTTTGGAACATGGCTTTGATGTTCCCCAAGAGTTGGGATGATGCCAACTGACTTTCATATTTTTCGGAGGGGTTTTAAACCACCAACTAGATAAGTGAACTATTTAGCCCTCAATTATATAGGTGGTTTCTGAATGTTTCTGATCTTCAAGACAGCAAAAATCTGACCAACGCTGCTTGTCACAGAAGAAAAACTATTGCGGCCCCAATTTGTTGATGTTCATGCGATTCTGGCTTGGGTTTGGTCCATTGGCCTTTTATGGCGAGTGCGTTTTAAGGTGCACAACAAGCATTTTCCAGACTGGAAGCATCACAAGTCATGGTATCATGATCCAACATCAACAAGGCTGTTACGGCTGTTGTGCAGGGCCTGCCATCAAGTGCCAAAGAAGAGCATGTCCCCAGCTCAGCCTGGTGGCCTTATCCTCATTGGGCCAGCCATCCGATGGACACACCGAGGTGATCAAGGAATTCTTTCAGGAGAATGCCGTGGCAGGTCGAAGGGTGGAGGCCGGAAGGCCGTCCACCGATGTAACAGGAGCCATAAGTCATAAGTGTGCCCAGTTGAGCACTGTTCAAAACCCCTGAGGCTTCATGATTATATGGGGTTATTACATGTTATTACTATAATTATTACCCAATTTGTTCCAATCTATTGGGGATTATCATATAATACCGCAGCTTATGGATACGTGTCCCTTCTGTTCTTCCTGACGTTTACAAGCCGCATATTTGACTTTTGTGCACGCGGCCGCATGCCCTTCATGTTGTGCACTGGGGATCCAGATTTTGCCTCCCTCCCCGCAAGGTGGTGAAAGTTGTCATTGCCTGGAATGTGGGGCAGTTTGAGCCAACGATCCTCGGATAAGATGCGGCCGCGGCAGTTTGGACAAACTGTGAGAAGTCCCTTGAGATGACGTAAGATGCAGGGGAAACCAACTCTAGATTTGTAGATTTTTAATGTTCAGTTCAACGACTATGGGATACTTCTCATACCTGGCGGGATCCCCACAGAAGATAGAAGTTCATAAATTCATATGTAAAAAAACATTAAGATAGTCATACATTGTTTGTTTATCCTTTCTTTTGGAGGGTTGCGAGTAGTTGCGAGTTGCCAATTTGTTCCATCCTTCGCATTGAACGAGTCGCTGAGGGCCAAAGAGCTGAAAAAGTTGCGGGATCGGAGAGTCAGTTTGAGGACGCCTTCGGATGGGCGTGGGCCATGGGTGGACATCATTTTGAGGAACGTCCCTGTGTGCCGTCCCCATATGCTCCATGTATATCCATGTATGGTATATTTACCTACATTTGGGTGATTTTTAGGGCAAATGTTGGTAAATATTCCATACATGGAGCATTTGGGATATACACACAAGATGAGTTTCGAAGGTTTTCGAAATCGCTATAAGTTTGACGAACGTCACTTGGGCAAGGTAAGAAATTCATGGAGGATAAACAAAGTATCCTCTGGTAAATTTTCGACCCTGAAAATCACCCATTTTGAGTGGAGACTCATCTTCCAAGTCTTCCAACACCCAATGAGTGGCAGGGTCGTCATGTGATTTACTGGAATGTAACATTCGATTTGTTGTTAGTGACTGGGACTATATTCATTTGACATGATTAAATATTAAGGTAGCCAATTTCAGTGCAATTTCACCCAATCATCACTGGGCCACCACCTTTCTAGGGCCTTTGGCAGGATCAGTGGCGAGGCTGAGGAGGTCTGCGGGATCTTGTCACCCCTGGGATTCAATCATCATTATGATGATTGATAGATATTGATAGGGGATCAACCAGAATACTGTAGACATATGGGGATATGAGATGATAATAAGTTATACATAACGGACATGATGGTTGGTTGACGATTGCTTCGGGAGTTAAGTGATACATGATGGCTGGTTGATAATTGGTTCGAGGGTTAGTCCAACATATTGGGGATTATCATAATCCATCATCGGAATCACGTTCTTAACAACCAACCATAGTCAACCACTCTTTTAATGGAATGGCAGAGGGTTCTGGGATGTTAACACTGCTCATTTGGTGAATTTTCAGGATGAAGTTGTTTCTTTTGGCGGCGTTCATCCAGCCATTTTTGGTGGTGTAAAATTTGGTGAATGGTACCCAGGTTGATGGGTGGCTGGCGAAAATAGGCGAAGAATTGATGGCCGGAGTAAACATTAAGATTCCTTCTCAGTGTATAAGATCAGCGGGCCGGGCTGGTACTATGTCAGTAAAGTCCAGGGTG